CTCTCCTCCGTCTCTCTCTCTCTCTTCTCTCTGTATATATATATATATATATATATATATATATTGCGGGTATCATACAACATGATACCTCTGATAATCCTACTTATATTTTTGCTAATAAATAATACTGATGTTAGAACAGAATGTCCAAAAATTACTAGGAGAGTTATGTTCGATTTTAATAGCACATTATTAACATTGTGGATGACTTACGAACTAACTTTGCTGGGATATATTTTAATGCTTTAGATCCTAGTGCATTTCTCTGAAAACTTATAACTGTGCTTAATAATGGCACCAGTAATAATGCACCTATGAAGACCCTATCACGAAGGAAAAGTAAATTTGGTTCAATTCCTTGGCTACCAAAAGGTTTAATCAAGTCTAACACTATAAAAATCGTATGTACAAGAAACACTTCAAGTCTAAAAGCAATCTACTTAAAATCACTTATAAAGACTATACAAATAAGCTTACTCATTTGAAAGAAATAGCCAAAAAGAAACACTACATGAATTAATTGGAAATACATAAGAATAATGTGAAAACGCATGGCAAACCATTAATAATATTGGTACTATAAAAAACAAGTCATCTGTCTTACCAAACTCCCTTAGTCCGACGAGGGATCACTGTGTGTGTGTGTGTGTGTGTGTGTGTGGTGTGTGTGTGTGTGTGTGTGTGCGTGATGCCGGTGAAGTGTTGGCGTGTGCGTGTGCGTGTGCGTGTGTTATAATGTGTGTCGTGGCGTGGGCGCGTGGCGCGTGCGGCATGCGTGTGTGTCTGTGTCCTGCTGCCGATCATTTTTGCAACCCTTAGAGGTAGAAACTTCAGACTTGTCGAGACGTGGACCTTAGGGGCGGTGGAACCGCCTATTGAGTTTTGATGCCTTTCAACCTACAGGTCAATGGTCACAGGTTCAGCATCTTTGATGGAATGGATAGATTAGATTAAGATAGATAGATAGATTAGATAAGGCAAAAAATAGATAGATTGATAGTAAGAATATCGTTGAGTGCGAGCGTGGCAGGTGGGGGAGAGTTGATTCCAAGCCAGCGCGTGGTGCCCTGGCGAATCAGTGCAGGTTACGCGACATGACTACTGTATCCTTAGCCTGTGGTTGCGGTGTTTGCTAAAGTCTACAAGGGCCCAGCGCAGCCTAACGGAAGTGATAAGTAAATCCGTGCATGTTTTCGCAGGGAGATTTTCCGCCCGGCACCGCCAATCGCGAGGTCCGGAGGGACCGCATGCCGCGTTCCCAAATTCCGGTAAAGGGGTCTTTTTCGCGAGCGAAAAAATTCGGCCAAGTAATGTAAAAAAGGGGGTGTATTTGAGCTTTTCACACCGAGATTTCTTAAAAGCAAGGTGTTTTTCCTCTCTCTCTTCACTCTTGAAATATCATAGAAAACTTAATCAAATGCCCGGGATCAAATTCCTTGAAATTCCTGCTAGTGTTTGAAAACTGCAATTCCAGGATCATTTCGGATTTAAGGGGTCTCAAGGCAGGAAAAACCCGCAAATAACGCCCGCGAAAGGGGGGTTAAGAAATTTTGGCGGTCCTGAGATAAGGGGCGTGCTTCAAAGAGTAGGGAACGAGCATATGCGTACCCTAAAATAACACTGATAATGGGGGCCTCGGGGATTTTGCCATTATATTTTCTAAAGTATGTTTTTTTTTAAACATATAAGCCCAATAAATGACTAAAAAGGAAAGTGTTAAATCGAACCTTGAATGGCGTAGGAATGAAGCACGAAAATTTTTCAGGGCCAGATTCTGCACGCGCCCTAGACGTTCATGCAGGAACAAACGGATTTCTGGGGCGGTAGAGAGAACGACAACACTCAAATTATTATCATAGATAGAATCGGACCAGCTGCCTTATTTTAGATACACTCCTATTCATAATCTGTTGTAGCTTGCATTGTCAGTAATATAAGCAGGCGATAGAAATATAGTTTAATGGTTACAGCTGGTTAAGTAGTTTGAATTTGTCAAGCCTTGGGAATTTGTGGAAGGGCGCATGGATATGGGCGCATGTATAATAGTAGTCTAATATATATATATATATATATATATATATATACTATGTCAGTGTGCGGGCAAGCGTGGCGTGCGTGTACCTGTGTGTTGCCATAGGAGCATTTGGCACGGCATTTAGCAGAATTGTCGGCATAATAGGCGAAAGAGAGTAGAGAACACATTAAGACTTTGGTCAGTAACTAGATTTCGTATTTATTTAGGCATTATATTTTATTGAAACGCCTTCAAGTGCCTGTGACT